TTGTCTAGCACTGGTTTCATGAAAAAAAGGGGGCCAAACATCAAGACATTTTTGCAGTGTAGCTACAAAGATTTTTTTTTAAATATATTTTGAGGGCAAACATCATATTGTGTTGTAAGGCTCACAGCAAGAGCTCAACCATTTCTAAGTAATAGTTCCAACACCAGTGAGAAGTCTTTTGTATATAAAATAGGATAAAAACACACATTTTTGAACAATTCTTCACTTGTACTTCCATAAACACGCCAGAACATAATGCAGTTAGTGGGAATGTTGTATTTGATTAGGGGGGGTCTCTAATGTTCTCGGAAAAAATAAGTCTCTTGGCTATTCTAACATTACAAAAAGTTACCCTGTCTCTCCCTCCCTCTGGGGTCTGTGGAAAGGCTTTCTTACCAACTAAGGCAGAAACAGTCAAAAAACTGAATAAGGACAAGTTGGCACAGAACAAAATAATTCCTGGAAGGACCTAATAATCATAGATGTATTATAAAAGTGCAAAAGCTTTGAATAGAGGATTTTGAAAAAAAGTGTGTTTATATTGCTTAGATAACAGGTCACATATTGAACAAAACATAGTCCTCACATGATATTACAACCATAATGACAACCATGATTGCCTGTGTGGCACCATACTCTGGAAACTCATTTCCCTGGGCTCCTCTAAGATCAGGCTGTGACTAAAAAAGGTCAGCCTAATCATTCGCTGATTAAAGAAAAGGCACAGAGCTGAACAAAGCCACAGTGACATATAATGAAGGCTTCAATGCTCGACAAAGCTCCACAACATTGTTGTGGGGATGTGTTCACACTGGGCCGTGTTCCAGTTTTCTGGTATAATTAGTCAATTTATAATAGTGGCAGAGATGAGTGTAATTCATTTTCAGTACTTAGAAGTGTCATTTTGACAAAACTGCAGTGATGTAAATAAACACGTCCACATCAGAGGCCGAGCTCATTAAACCATGCAGCCGTGATTAAATCTCTGAAACCTGATGATTCTCTTTTCAAATTCTGACTTTGATTATTGATTGAAATGTCACCTTCCACCTCAGCAGATGTCAGAAAAGGCTTAAATTACCTTTCTCTGACTCCTCTCCTACCATCATACCCTGAGAGATGCTATCTGGATGCCATGCATGCTAGAATAAAAGCATCCTGAAAGGGCCATCTGCCACCGCCACTTTGACCTGGGTGTCCTTGGCGCCCTTGGCTACTCCGCTGCTAATTCCAACCATAAAAACTGAAATAATCACACTCTGAAAGAGTAAAATGGGACGACAGGGCTTTACCAAACAACTCCTGTCCCCATGCCAAGAGAATTAGCTCTAATTTGTCCTACTGCGACGATCCCCTCGAAGCACGACAAATAAATCACTCCTTGAGGGCTAATGGCTCCTGAAGGAGCCTGTGGTGAAAGCAGAGACTGAAAACATTGCGCTTATTGTCTTCTTTATCCTGGCTAATTACTAGACAGTGCCCTTCCAAGACAATTCATTTAAGAACCTTTATTTCTGTATTATAAGGAAGTGGGTTGAGATATAACCAGCTATGAGTGACGTCAGCCTGTCAGCAGCCCTCTAATCCTTCAAATCGCTCGTGTGACTGAGAGCATGTGATGGAAATAAGGTCTGGCCTCAAATCAGTAAACTCTCAAAGGGAAAACAAGGACTAGGGCAGTAGAGTGCTGCAGTTATTGCTTTCAATCTATTAAGACCGGAGGCTATAAACAGTACAGAAATAGTTAAACTAACCAAATGTAGCCACACAGTAAATCAAAAAAATCACCAAAAGGGGTCGTACTTGAAGGAGTAAGGGCTTCTTTCTAGAGTTGCTATTTTGAAGTGGTGTTCAATAGCCTCGCAGGAAGGAATGCACTGAAACCGCTTTCTCTATAGGCAGCTGGCCTATAGGCCAGAATGTGATGCAGCTACAAGATGTTGCATTCTGTGTAGGGGAACACAACCCACCTTTTCTCAAATTGAAAATCTATCGCTTTCATGTCTTTCCTAAGGTACCATGAGGCTATCGCTGTTTTTCTAGCTGTATAACCAACAGCTGAAAGCACAAGTTTGCAGCTGTATTTTTGGGTTATCAAAGGTCATCCTGGGAAATGGAGGAAGTCACTAACTGAAGCATAAGTCCTGTAAAACATTAAAGACAGATAATACTTGCAGTAAGTGTTTGAGAGTGTGGTTCTCTTCTAATCATACACTGTCTAGACATGCACACTAAATCCATCCCAATTATGGGATGTAGATATACGAGGTCTTAATATACATCAGTTGCTAAAAGGGTTATATGTTATATATTTTGTTCACAGTAAAGTTGATCCTCCTTTAGGGTGGCTAATTTCAATCCAACTGTTAAGCCATGCTGGTAGCACGGTTCTATGGATTGTTTATCGGTTGGTTACAGTTCAGACTTTCCCAACAGTATAGTGTATATCATGAAGTCAATATTTGTGCTTTTGAATATAATATATCAACAACTATTGGATGGATTGCCATGTAATTTGGTACACACATTCATCTCCCCCTCAGAATAACTTTGGTGATCCCTTAATATTTGATCTAGCAAATGTTAACCTGCTAACCCACTAAACTAAGATAGTGAACACAGTGAACATTATACCTGCTAAATATCAACATGTTGCATTTAGCTCAAAGCACTATGCAGCTAGCTTTAGGCTTTTGTTTTGTTCATAGTTGTTACAACTTAAAATGACTGCACACAATCTCTCTGTTGGCAAAACGGTCCACATCTAAACTAGTGTCACTCATTCTCTAGGTCTCTGACACGTCCTTGACCAACAGCAACTGTGATTCACCCACAATGATCTCTGCTTTTCATGTCAAAAAAGGCTGCCGTGTCTGGGACTTGCCTATTTGTCATTTAATGCCAGCTCTAGAGAGAATTCAGGTGGTTTTATAAATCATTCAGGGAGGTTCAGATCCATTGTCCTTGATAGGGTGCTTGTGCTTGCTTATCACAGTCGTTTCCTCCGACAATAACAGGAAGGCCAGTCACGAAAAAAAAAAGTCATCCTGCTGTGGCCCAAGCCAAGTGGGAGCTCTGGAAATGAACATCTCAGTCCGTTTCCTCCCTGCGTGTTTGACACACTCAGCAACTCAGCAGCTAAAGCCTACTCCCAACACAAGACGAGGCTACCTTTTCATTAGCAATTATAGTGTTTTCTCGAAAGTGGCAGCAGCTGAAAAAAGAGACCCTGTAATGTTGCCTCTCTCTCTCTCTCTGACGGCTTCTGTGTGAAACTATCATTACTACTGCTCGTGCCATTATAGCTGGCAGCCGCTGACTGGTCCTATTCATGCCACAGCATGTGAATATGGATCAGCCCCCCTTGTATACAGGCTGAGGTCACGCCTGAATCACTGCCCCAGCAAATGACTAAGATCAGATAAGGCTGAATGCTGACATTTTACCAAGATGGAAGACGATTCTTTTACCCTCAGTGTTTAAAAGCTTGTTTATCAGTACAGCTAAGCCCCTTTCTATAATTCTATAAGATGAGTGGGTTGGAAAAGCGTTACTTGTATTGTATATATATTTGCCTGATGCAATCTTAGACTCATTTCATTAACTCTCCATGGTATAGCACTTCCGAACCCAGCAGATTGTCAGCATCAGTGCATCGGTAAAGCTTCACGGCTCACAAACATTAAGCTTTACTGAAGAACAAATTGCAATTGAGCACATGGACAAACAACTAATTCCTTATAGCGGAAAATGATCAGTTGTGGCTAATCACATAGCAAGTGACAGCAGTCAGATTAATTCCTGCATAATTATGTATGCTCCCACCAGTAAAGTGTATTTATAGTCACCTCTTGTGGCTTAAAAGTGACTGGGGAGCCGATGCTAGCTTTACTTGGCACAGAGGAAATAGTTAAGGTGTCTCCTTTCTCTGTATTTGACAGCATCAATTTCCTATGTAAGACTTGTGCAATATTACATTTTGCCAGCGGATATGCTTTGGTCTAAATGCAATACTTACATTTATTTCAGTTATTATTCAAAAATAGACATTTAACAAAACAGAATGTGGATTTAAAGTGAGTGTGCACTTCTCAGGCTTGTATATAGGACATTTTTTTACTTATAAAAATCTCCCAGTGGTATTACTATGAAACTACAAAGGGAACTTTTAGGTTTGCTTGAGCTTTGGTAAAATATCTTTTTTATGGGAAGGATAGCAGCACTTAAATATAATCCTGGAGGCATTACTACCATGTGAATTAAGTCAGGGGATGCACAAATATGTGTTTAAGTCACATGGTCTGCAATTACATACTACCTCAACTGTTGGTAAACACTACCTGTGGTGCATTAGCAAACCAGGCTGGGTTTATTATACCATCAGAAAATACCATTCGCCTTTAATTGCAAAATGTGCATGCATACTGTATGTTTCCAACAGGTACAAAAACAGACAACAACCGCGGTAACCTGCCTAGATTGCACCTGCCCAGTTCAAATACAAAAGTTGTCTCCTATGTAACAAAGTGGATTCTCATGCCAAAGCGATACAGTAGCTTTTTGTTAACAGATAAAGAGCGAAAACCGAGCTGAAACGGGATAACATCACCGAGGAGGGTTACATAATAAAGATGGGAATTTACGAAACGCACTGTAAGCGGTGTGAGGATATCACATCCGTCAGAAGAAAAAAAAAATGATGGAGAATTAATGAATGTGCACATAAAGACCCCGCAATAATACAACAGAGGGAAACAAGCGCTCCACTCTGCAAAACGCACACAACGGAGAGGCTGGACGTTTTCATTTCAGAATAGCGTGAGCTCATATTGCCTTCAAATAACGACCCGGACAGACAATTTGTGGGGAAATCCGAGTCCGGCACAAAGAACCGGGACTACCCCGGGTTGCCAGTTCCTTGCCTAAGTTTTCAAAAACGAGGGTGGAGAGAAAAAAGCCACGGATGATAAGCAGAAATCGCAAAGCTCCAAGCGCCTTACCTCGATCCAGAGAGAGCGGTTGGACCACTGTCGCCATGACTGCTGTTTACTGGAGACTGGAGACACTACCGGAGCTGCAGCATCACAGAGAGAGAGAGAGAGAGAGAGAGAGAGAGAGGGAGAGAGAGAGAGAGAGGAGGGGAGGGGGGTTAATCTACCTCCATCCACATAATATCTCATCACCTGGAATTGATTGCATAGGAACAGCAGCTTTACACACACACACAGTTATAGGGGAAAAAAGCTCCATCTTAACAAAATGAGGCAGAACAGTCCGCTACTATGAAATATAAAAGATATGTGTTCAAGAATTTTTTTTTCAAAGCTTAAAGAAAATGTATTTGTAACACTTAATACAAGATTAAATTGCTCGTCAAGATGATTTTGCAGCTGAGTAACTAAATAAAAAGACAGGAGACAGATTTAACTCGAGTACATAATATGGACAAAAGTATGTAGACACCCAATACAGGATGTGTACTCCTGAGCATCATGCATCATGCTTGGGCTATTTAATATTATGCTATTAAAGCATTCACTCTTCTTGTTCCAGGCTTTCTATGCGATTTTGGAGGCTGGCTGCAGGAATTTGCTTCTCCATGAGGTTGGTCCCTGATGAGAGACCTGGCCCGTTGTGCTCCAGTCCCCCCCCTTCATCCAAAAGATGCTGGGATGAGGCCGAGGTCAGAGCAGGTCAGTCCAGTTCTTCCACACTGAACTGGGAAAACTTATGTACCTTGCTTTGTGCACGTGGGCACTGTTATGTTGAAACAGGAGAGGTGCTTCTCCATAATGTTGCCACACTATTGTCTCAAATAGTACAAATAGTACGTAATATGCTGTGGGATTCCCTTAAATTGAATTAAGAGATTTATAGTCAAAAACATAAAAAGACAAGACCAATTATAGTGTTATAGAAACATCAGTCATTTATAGTCAATTATTCCTACATGTGGCCTCACCATTCACGAGTCAACTAGTGGCCCTGGGTTGCATGCCGAGTCTCTGAACCATGCACATGTGTGTTCCTGTGCCTGCATGTGTAAATGCTTAGCCATGTATGATCCAATCATCAGTTGCACTACAGCGATCAGCTGATTGCAACCATTGCCATTAAGGTTTACTGTGAACCGCTGAGCCATGCCGCCTGCCTGTTATCTCCTCTCTTGGCAACACGCACTGCATGCAGCCTGATAAGGACTGAATGCTGGTAGTGAACCTTTGTTGAAGGGCTTAAGGATTAATCCTCATGTTTATGAGCTACCACAGAACGGAGCCAAACCACTGGCTCCCTTCATTTACTGTAGATCTGCTGCCTAATGGTGCCTGGTGCTGTGGCATATCTCATACATGGCCAGTCATTACACTTGACAGAAGCAGTGCTCAACAAAAACAAGTAGCAAATCCCTGGTTAGGGGGTACGTTAAGGCAGCATGACAATGCATGGCTCACAAACCATGACTTCACTGTGACAAATGCAAGCTGTAGACAGGAATACACACCTGGGGCTAGGACCAATATTCAGCGTGCACAGCTATTCAGAGCACAATCCACAGTATCATATAGACACTGAAATCATTTGAATCTCATTTATCTTTCTTGTATGAAAGAAAAAGAAAAATCACTTGCTTTAGCGGAAACCCATTTGGGAAGCAATTACCTCACTTCTAACCTCACTACACTTCAAATTGGCAGCTCTGGAATAAGTTTAAAACTGTAAAATCTATGTACCTTTGCATTTCAGTTAGATTAAATTTTGCCAATTTTTAAGCATTTCAGGGAATATTCTATCACTATAATCTGTTCTATTTTTGATTGAAACTGTTACTTAACCTAGTCCATATGTGCTAGTGAATTCGAGCTGCCCACAGACCTACCCAGCTGCATGCAGATGTGAACTGGTGGTAAGTGGTGGGCTGGACGAGCGGATAGAAAGGGCGAGGGCTTAGAGAGCGCATGGAAAGAGGGCACAGAGAGATTACAGGCTCCCATCCATATGGGCTGGGATACAGTTCTGCTTTTTTTTAAGAGGTGGGATTACACTGCAGTGCTCTTAAAGCCCTTTAACTGCGAGTGAATTGATTTCTGAAAGGTCTCAACTCTCACAGAAAGAGATGCAAGAGGCTGGGTAGACAGTACAAATACAGACTAGTGTGTTTGCCTTTCAGATTAAAGCTCATAACATTAGTCAGTATCAGAGTGTTTGTTGGCACCAATCCCCATCAGTGCAAAATAAATTCAACAGGTACTGCCTTTAAAGGAATAGTTCTCAGAGAAATATTCTTACTGGTATTGGCTTTCTTGTGAGAGTTAGATAAGAGGATTGATACCACTCTCATGTGTAAGCCTATATACAAAGATACAGCCAGCAGCTGGTTAGCTTAGCTTAGCATAAAGACTGGCACAGGGGGGAACAGCTAGCCTAACTCTGTCCAAAGCTAACAAAAACTATGCAAAAAAAAGTAAATTATGGAGTCTCTGCTGGTTGCCTTTAAAATCTACAATATATTAGTTTCCTCTGATTCGTACTGTGGGATGCTGTCATTACTTTCTGCACTGAAGACGAGCAGAATTGATTCATTAAATGAACACACGTGTCCACAAAATAATTGTTCTTTCATCTTGTACTTATTAAAAAGGAACACTGAGTGATGAGTTTTGACAACTATTGACTCTAATCCCTGTGCAGCGCTGACTTTAATTTATATGGCATGTTACACTGGGAAAGAAATTTCCTGTTGACCTGAGAAAACCTCAAAAATAATGTATTCATGTAATAGTGTTAAGGTTTGACGTGACATGCTGCTTTCCCACAGCTGCTCTGTTGTTTATTACCAAGCTCCATCAGGCAGCTGCTGACAGAAAATGAAAGTAGATCATTGTGTAAACATGTGGGAGGTTGACTGATAGACATTTTAAAAATAGTATTTATTTTATAACAAGGCAATTTGACACAACAAATAGGCTTTACAATTTTCTTTACAGGAACAACTAAGGGAAGTAGCTCCATGGTGATATTCTCTTCTGTCACTGTCACTTCTTGAGGCTGTCTTCTACAGTTACAGACTTTCATTGTTTGTAATTGGAGCAACTTTGGGATTAAATGTCTTGCTCAATGGCAATTAAACGGAGGATTTGCAACACTGATTTGTAGCATATCATGCTTTTCCCATTGGGATTTTAACCTCTAACACAACTTTATTAACTAACTATTAGGCTACTGACGCCCTCTTCAGGGAAACAGCACTCATTCACTTTGTCAAATGGATATAATATATAACATAAAAGTAATGACATTTCACACTAGTTCACTTTTCTGAGTTATTTAATCTCACTCATTTGTGAGGAGTGTATTGCCTGTCTTGTCACATTCATTACACAGCATAAAATAATACCATTTAATGATGCTCTGCTTCTGCTTATTTGGCGTTTCGTTGCTTATCAGCTGACAGTAAAACATATTAAGACATCTGTTTATATTGAGATACAGCCCCTCTTGGACATCTCAAATGCGTAAAAGCTTAAAAAAATATCAGCCTCTTGTTATCTCCTGCTTGACTTGAATTAAATAAAGAAAATTACCAACAAGGACATTAGTGTTTATATACCTGGGATCACATCAGCGTACTTCATGAAATGATATTGCTCCTAGTAGTTTGTATGCTCACTTTTAGACAATTCTTAAAGCAAATTTACTCAGATGTAATAATCGGCAATGACGTATCAGTTATTTTAAACTATGAATTATGTTGACTGTAATCATTCCCAAAGCCTCCCCGCCAATTGCTGCTGAAACCCATTCAAAATGTTCAACGGCAATCATTATCTTCAAACTAATTTGATTATAAATCCATATTGAGACACTCTGTGGGGGTAAAACACACTGCTTGGAGATTAATCATTTTCAGATAAACTCTGGTAATTTGCTTTTAACTGTTTCGGAAGGGCAGCTGACTTCGGCTTCAAAAGATTCACAGTCATCACTTCAAATCAGAGAAGAGGGCAAGATGGAAGGCGCCATAATGAAGACTCCGGTTTAGGTCTCATTGGCCTCTGCAAGCAGCTGTTGGTTAGTCTTCTGTCTGTGCACGTCCGGTGCCAGAGCATACGAATGATACATATTCTGCCAATTGCATCTGCACTGTTATAAACAGAGTTATGGCAGTGTCTGGGGGAGCAGTGATTTAGCGAGGCCTTTTGGTCAGACAAATTACAGCCTGAGAGGAGAGGGGAGGCATCTTTTCCCTGTCAAAGCCACATGAATATTTATATGCTCTTTACAACTTACATGCTCGGTTGAAATGTGATGAAACTTAAATCAATATGAGGTAAGAAACAAGCACAGATAATTCACAGGATAGGACTAGAATGTAATGGATTGATCTTTAATAATTCAGAATATAGAAAATGTACACAGTTTTATGTTGACAACAGGGTAACAAGGGTACAAAAAATGTTTTTCTGAATGATATCTTTTGTCTGTCACTCGGGACAAAGAGCTGTTTGTTTTCCCAACATACCGCTGTAAAAGTTCCAAGTTGGTTGTCCAATTTCTTTAAACTCGTGCATTTGGTTAGAAATGTAACACAGTAGTTGCAAGGCAATACAAAGAGTATCCTGGAAAGTGCATGATGCTTCCAGAACTAATGGAAAACACTGCTCTGCATGTATAAATAGAAACAGATGACCTGAAACATCAGATGGATGAGTTACTCAACCAGGGGCACCAGTGTGCAGGGGTCACATCCGGGGGGGGGGGTCAGCTGGATTATGGGTATTTACCAGCAGCATGTATGATGGCAGTGACGAAAGAGATGCACGCAGCGCCATCTGAGAGGACGCAGAGCTGTCGCTGCCCATGTGGGGCGACAGGATTGGACAAGCTGTTGTTATGAGTCCAGAAAAAGTGACTCAGCTTCCACAAGAGACCGAGACACTTTGTGTTTTTAACATACCCAATTATGTACATAAATATCCTCAAACAGGCCCTTATCACTTTAAGTATTTGCATTCTTAACAGGGGATGGGTTATTTATTTCACCCCGGGGGACCCTGAAAATTTAATGCTGCTGCTTGTAAACAAAGATTTGTGATAGAAAGGAGCTTCAAGCAAGCCAATGATTTCTTCTTGTTCTGCATGATAAAAGATATGCCCAAGGCTAAAAAACTATTCCTTATTAATGTCTTGGGGATTATGTGGGGCTTGTATGCAGACCCTCAAAATTAAAGTTTAAAACTTTCCTTTTTCTCATTGGCTCAGCATCTTTTCGAACTGTGCCACATATTTTATATTTATTTTATTTTAAATACCCTTTTGGCTGGGTTTACAGTGCTAACACCAGTTTATGTGTTGTGTAACAGATTTCGATTGTGGCTCAAAGCTCCTCCTGCATCAACTACATCCAGTTCATAGTTCGCATTCCTTGAAGGGATTGTAAGGACTTTTGTTGGAGGCTCCTCTCCCTTTACGCGGCCCCAGATGACGTCGCGCAGTTGAACAGGAGAAGCGGGTGTCCCTCACCTGCAGAGAAACACCGGAAGAAGGAGAAAACGCGTGAATGTGTTCCTCTTTTAAAATAACTACAGCAGCAATGCACTTCCACTTAAAGCACATTCTGCGCCTGAACCAGTGCGCCCCTCTGCAGCGCAAGAGGACCCTCGATAGGAAACTGTGGACTGTTTCAGCTGCACAGCAACAACAACAACGTGGTTTAAGAGCAGCAGGATCGCATGCGTCTGCAGATTTCAGGAACTATTTCCCCCTGCAGTTCTGCAGAAACTATGCATCCGACACGGCGTACAGCCGAGCCTTCGCCACAGCGAGGGACAACCCCGAGACATTCTGGGGTGAGGTGGGACATGACATACACTGGTTTGAACCGTGGAGTAAAACTTTACACGTTGAGGATCCAGTGTTTCCAAACTGGTAGGTTTCATTGTAACAAGCGAACAACACAGCAACAAAACATTGTTTAGTGTAAACCCACTTCCGGCCATGTGAAGGACATTTAAAAAAGGGTTTGGATAAATAAAGCTTGTTATTATTCACATTATTCTTATTCTTATCATTATTATTATTACTATTATTATTATTATTATTACAGGGAATTTGTACAAACACAGATTAACTGTATAAATAAAGTTCAACAAAAAAAAGACTTAAAGATTTATATAGTTATACATAGGCTATCTATAAACATATGTAGTTAAATTATTAGTGGAAGTGAAATTTTTCGTTTGTTTTTTGGGGGGGAAAGAAAAACATGAACATTTAATTAATGAATTATTAGATATATAAAACATAGAATGAGGTTAAGTCCAACATGAAAATCAAAGGTCGCACAAGTGGGCCTATGTCACTTCCGGGCGCCATCTTTGTTTGGCTTTGAGAGTTAATGTTAAAAGTTTGGCCAAAGACTTTTTACGGGGATAAAATTAAGATTTTTTGAAAGTTTATCTTGTATTTATCTGAGAAACTTTACAGTATCCGCTAACGCTAGCTAATCAGCTATTACTAGCTAACAGGTCAAAAGTCACGCGAGAGAGCACAAACTGGGGCTTAAATTTCCACTAAATATCAATTGAAAAAAATTGAGAAGACCTTATATTTCATGCACAATTAAATAAGGATGTAAGCTAGACAGTTGCCTGATGTTCTTTGGAAAGCAAACATTAAAATGCACGGCAGCCCACATACATACTCCTGAAATGAAATTGTTTTTGTATTTTCATGTTGGGTGGGTGTCTTTTGCTATCATCTTGCATGGTAGCAAAAGCCAGAGCTGCCTGGATCTGGAACTGTTGTGTTAAAATGAAGGACACAGCCACCGTGTCTCCCTGGCTTCCAAAACAGCAGTTCCCAGACACCATCTGCTCAACCTGCTTGCTGCTCTTCATCCATATGCACAGCACCAGAATGAGTTGAAACTGTCGCTTTATCAAGTACATTGATTTGCGGCATGCTGCTGGCAAAGGCAATCGCATATGTTTTTCCTAGAGTTGATTTCATCAAGTTGTGTTCTATTTTTAGGCAAAAGGAAAGAATCTTACCAGCCAAAAATACACATGCAGGACTGTGACTTTAGAGATGCTGATCGAGGCTGTAGCATAGATATGACTGCAAAATTAGAAACCCTTAAACATATATGTTAGTCATGTTTGATATTTGAACATTGTTGACTACAGTATGTCTGTCTCCGGCAGGTTTGTTGGAGGGAAGTTGAACATGTGCTACAATGCTGTGGATCGTCATGTAGAGAGCGGCCGCGGGGAGCAGCCTGCCATCATTTACGACAGCCCAGTAACTGGAACCAAACAGATAATCACTTTCAGGGAACTTCAGGACCAGGTAAATGATATTGTTAAAGGCAGAAGTCACAGAACTGAACTGCCTAAAGACTTGAATTAGCCACTTTGTTGCCTGATCTTGATTGTCAAGGTTTGTGGTAAAATAAATTGGATTGTAATGGATTGTGAGGCATGCACCCAACCACTGAAACTAGAATTTGTTAGTGTTATCATGTCAATTAGTATGTTTTCCATCATCGGTTTTCCTGCCGTGGCTCCTGGATTGAGCCGACATTAGCATGGAGGACAACAAAACACAATAATGGAAAGAAAGAGAAATAATTAACTTGACTGACATTTGGGCAGATGCTTCTGTTCAATCAAGACTCAGTTGAATGGGCTGTAATCAAAATGTGGTTAGAAGTATAGCTTCAGGTTTTTAGTGCCCCCCCAATAGTTCTTAATTTAATTTGATTTACTAATAGAAATTGAGTTCTTTCATTTTTCAGATTATGTCATTTTCATATTAATAACAAGAAAATCATGAAAAAAATGTAGGCCTATAGGAATATCCCAAATGCACATTTTGTCTTTTTACCATCCCTGGTTTATGTTGGTATGTTAGTTACAGTAGTCAGGAACAATTATCTAAACCAGATTTATGCAAACATTTGAACTTGGCCAAAATGCATGTTACTATCCAGTACTCTGCATTGTCTCCCCTGTGTCTTGTTCCAGGTGTCCAGGTTAGCAGGAGTCTTGGTAAAGCATGGGGTACGGAAAGGAGATCTGGTAGTCATCTACATGCCCATGGTGCCGCAGGCCATGTTCACCATGTTGGCCTGTGCACGGATTGGTGCCCCACACAGCCTCATCTTCGGTGGCTTCGCTTCCAAAGAGCTTTCTGTCCGCATCAATCATGCCAAGGTTAGAAAATCTTGTAAACACCTTTTGGTTGAGATAGATCCCTCCTTGAGCCCTGACAACAGGACGAGATGATCTATATTAATTCAGTGTAACTCTTTACTTCCCTGTGCACTCTTTAGAAACTAACGACATGCTCATGTGATGAATTCTTGTTCTTTTTATGTACTTAAATGAAGCAGGCTAATAATATGGCTGCAACTAATAATTTCCCAATTCCAATTTTCATGCAGCATTCATCCTGCAAAATATCTGAAACACTGAAAGCCAGAGGTGCCTGAGGCTTCTTTGTTTCGTTAAGCTCAAAATGAATCATTCACAGTGGAAAGCACTTGGCTTGCGTTTTCTTTTCACAAGAATGATGTCAATGCCATCTGCACTGAGATTTTTTAACAGGGCAACTGAAGAATTAATGGACCAACCTGACATTTTGACATGGAATGTTTTTGAGGATAATAATGTCTGTTGAGTGATGTGTTTATATGAATAGAAATCTGAACAAATACAGTATTATTAAGATTTGCCATCAGCTACTTTATCAAGTGTTTAAACTCTTATTGTTGAGGTGCCTCAGGGGCCAGTTAATGTTAAACTATATTGTTGACTTCAGATGAATAGTTAATAGATTCTGCATGTAGTATGAACAAGGACACTGTTTTCATGGAAATTGATCCCCCTTTATAATTCAGCACTAAAGTAGAGAAGAGGCAAATTAATGATCCTGAAGAATGCTGTAGACATTGCAATACCGTCTGAGCTAAACACGACTGAGTGTGTCCCATTTAGGGGCCATCTCCTTCAAAGTTGTGGCATATGTGCATCTACTACTAGATGCTACTACTACCACCACCTCAGTAGAAACACCTCAGGTGTGTTAGCTGGCTTGTTACTATGGAATCATTACCACATGCATGTTAATTATGTTGACTGAATTTGACTCTACACTGGAGTGCTGTAGGCAGGCAACGGACTCATACCACTAATACCCTCTTAAAAATGCAGAAAACAAGTATTCAAGTCAAGTACAACGAGAGCACCAGCCTCTGTTTCTAATAGATGCTGTAAGTTCTTCAACGCAATCAAATTCTCACCTGATCTCTCTGTTTCATAGCCCAAGTTGATGGTTACAGCCTCATTTGGCATCGAGCCAGGCAGAAGAGTAGAGTACATCCCTCTGGTGGAGAAGGCCTTGGAGCTGAGCTCTCACAGGCCATCTAAAGTCCTCATCTACAACAGGCCTAACATGGTAAGAAGAAGAAAGCATCATAAAGCTTAATTTTACAACATGGTGTTTCTAAACGTGCTGGTATCTGACATATGGCAGCCATATGTAAAGCTCATTAGTTTAGTAACGGTATAGGAAAAAACAGGTAGTTTTTAACCTGTAAGAAATCATTTAATAGTTTTAAAGCAGTAGATTTAATTGCCTAGAATTGGCCAAATGTGTGTGAAGGGTAAGACAGTACTACAAATCCTGCCACAGAATCAAAAGATGAAATGATGCATAACTGGATCAAGTAGATGAGAGAGTGAAAAAATGTGAGCTGAGGGATGGAGGTTGCTGCCCGACATAAGCAGCCTGGCACAGATCCAGGTTAGAAGCAGGCTGAGCTGTGTTAAATGATTATACAGCACACAAATATTCATTCATATGGTGACAGCAAGCAGAAATTTGCTTCACCTTCACACAGGCATAAAATGAAAGCAGTGAATTTTAGGTCTGGGAAACAGAAATTCATCTTAAAATGGATTTCTGTTTTGTCATCTTAATCTTTTTTTTCTTTCCTCCATGTCTCAGTTCAAATTTGTTATCAGTTACGCCATGTACCTCTGTCTGACTCTGTGGTCTTCTTAAATTGACATTACACAATTCGTTTTATCTGGTTATACTCAAATTTTATCTATCAGTGAATGATCTGTTGAATCATTGAAAGGGTGTTGCATCTCCTTTATGGAAGACATGCACGATGGACATGAGGTCGTTATCAGTGAAATAGTTTTCACATGAAATTCACTGGAAATCCTTTCCCCTTAAAATGATGTGACGGAGCACTTTGAAGGTTATTGCAGCTGCTTTATAAATTACAGAATTCAGTAGGCAAGAGGTTGTGGTTTTGTGAATACTGCTTCCAACATGAAAGCCTTGTTAAATCACCAAAGTTTGACTCTGGCTTGACTTTTAAGTAAAGTGAGTAAAAACGATGCATTTCAGAAAGCTGGACGTTTTGTGAGCTGTCTTTGCTTTGCCTCAAGATTCTGTGTGATATTAAAACATGTTTTAGTCTTCAGATCATTCTCTGACTCCCAAAGAAAGAAATGGACAGGGCTTTTCTTTAGCCTACTGGGATTATTTAAATCTTAATGAAATGAAAGTATCAAAGAGATTCAGAAAAGTTAGAAGTGAGATAAATGTCAGTGATGTAAGGGACATTAATGACCTGAAATTACCTCTTTGGGCAACTAAAAGAAATCTAACATAGTTTAATCAATGGCATTGATCAGTAACTGACCATTAACACCACAAGATATATTATGGCCCTTTGCAGCTATAGAGGAGTCACAATCCTAACCACTTTTAACAGTTTTCTTTTTTAGCAGTTTAGATTGAAAAGTATTATGTTCCTCATTTTTCTCCGTTTTAGGATAAAGTATCAATGAGTCCGCAGCTGAGTCTGGACTGGGAGGAAGAGATGGCCACAGCTCAGCCGCACGACTGTGTTTCTGTTCCCTCCAACCACCCTCTCTATGTACTCTATACATCTGGGACCACAGGAACACCAAAGGTACTGACATTACAGGATTGTGATCAGCAGCAGGGGAAAGTAGAAATCAATACCTCGTTCCTAGAGTTATAGATGTCATGTAAACATACATACTCATGTGGACGAGTTAAAGGATTTACTGTTGGCCCTGTTTGTCTAAGTGCTGTCAGTTCTCTATAGAACTTCTGTGTGACTCATCTGCTCTTTGACTCTGCAAAACAATCCAGGCCCAATCTAAACACCATCACCATGACATAAATAAGACAGAGCATTTCCACAGCAGGAGTTGGGGTTCATGCAGGAGGAATTACCTGCAGGCAGTTTCAAATGGAAAAACCCTTTCAAATAGCATCATTTTGTCTTTGACCAACAGATGATATAAAATATCCACCTGCTGGCTAGTTCTTGAGCTTAATAGTGCTGTTATTGCTAGATTTCTTCTCTGTGAGTTACTGCGACTTTCTCAGTTATTGCTGTAGGGAGACCATAACTTTGAGACTCTATAATTGTAGACACGAGGACTTGAGGACACACTATTCAAAAATATTTATACAGCACCATTAACTAATAAAAGCTGGAAATTGTAATCGGTTTGAGAAGCGGCCATTTGAAAACAAAATACCAGGCCCTTCAGTACAGCAGGGCAGAGACACTGTGTTTAGATTGACATTAAACCGCTGCCTCTTTGTCTAGTGCAATACCTGTCACCAGCCTGATGTTTTTCTTATCTTGTCCCCAGGGTGTTGTGCGAGACACTGCAGGCTATGCTGTGATGCTGAAATGGACAATGTCAAATATTTATGGACTCAGTCCTGGAGATGTAAGGCAATAAAGCACCCTCTTCCCAGTTTGAGCCCTGCTTGAGAACAAAGCGCATGCAGTCAGCACAGAGATAGATTGCTCTGTACCATAAAGAAGATTTGATTACTGTGTAATATTTATGGTAACTGAACGGTCATAGGTTTTGGAAGTAGCATGTTTTACTTGTGTTTTTTTTTTTCATTTACATTCATCATTTGATGTACATTTATAGTGCCGTGGGTGTTTATATTCTTAGCATTTGAAGCTGCAAAGGTAATTGTAAGACAGTGATAGAATTCTCTCTGATTATTAAGTAACATTCAATGCACTGTGTTGTTTGACTTAATAATACCAGAATATCTTACACAGGTAGTCCGTACATATTTAATCTTTTTTGTCCTCTTGCAGGTTTGGTGGGCTGCATCAGACCTGGGCTGGGTGGTCGGCCATTCATATATCTGCTATGGTCCTCTGCTCCATGGCAACAGCACAATTCTCTATGAGGTATGTCCCTGTGGACAATATTTTGGATCTGAAACTAACTACAGCGGTATTGCAAACAACAAGAAATACAAAGTAGTGTGCAATAAAACCAGAGTTGTACAACATACAAAGCTGTACAAGTCAGGTTTTAATGCCAGTTTGGTATCTGCCTTTGTTGGCTCTGCAGGCGGAATACATCTATATTTGGTTAATGACTGTGGTTTGTGTGGACTGGGTTCAAGATGTAGTGAACTGTTGCCATGTTTGATTCTGGCTGCTACAGTTCACTGTCAGGAGACAGACTGCAGCTCTTTCTATTTCTGTCTTTCACTCCTTTTGTTCTTTATGACATTAATTCATCTCAATCAGGCAGCACAATAGTACCAGTAGAAATTGGGGAAACTACAAACAATCTTCATCATATAGCAAATACAATAAATTCAACCGTATTATTTTATTATTCCATTTAGATTTTGTAACGCATTCTTTCATTTGAAAAAATGATCGAGAGGTTACAATGGAATAGACTGGAACAAACATATACAGTAATATTTCAGAAAAATACTTCATCCAACATTATCAGTTTAAACCTTAAGGAACACAACATTGACATGCAGCACACCTAACTTCTCATAAAAATTAATGGTAGGGGAAAAAAAGAAGCTTTAATTAAATATTTTATACATGAATGTGTGTTTTGAACATCTGATTGATATTGATGCATCTGATTAATTCAGGTAATTTGGCTTTGCTTTGAGAGTCCACTACCCACTGGCTAGTGAAGTACACTACACAAACAGACTGCTTAGTTAGTGGAAAGTTACTGCCATAAAATCTGTAGACCAGGGCTAAGAGGTATATGTGCCTGTCTGTTGATCTACCTGTGTGCATCTTACAGTGTTTTTTATGTTGAGGGCTACTCGTTACATTAGCACTCAGATTTTTTTTTCTTCTTCTGGCTTTATGCCTTTAATGGATAGTGACAGCCAAAGGTAGACAGGACTGTGGGGAGAGAGGATCGGCCCACAGACTGGAATTGAACCCAAGCCGCTAAGGTAAGGGCTCAGCCTTAGTACATTGGATGCACGCGCTCCTAGATGAGCTACTGGGGGTGTTCTCAGCCGTAGGAAGCAGCACTGCTGGGCAATGAATTAATCTGCCATCCTTGAATCAATGTTTGTCTCCAGCCACACTGGTTGTCTCACGTGGCTCTTGTTCGAGCAGCCCGTCTAACTTCAGGCATGACGCTGCCAATCTTTTGTCTTTCCTTAGATCAATAATACACAGAGACAAATATTTATCCAGAGCAAAAATGACAGCCAGAACTCACTCCTGCTGTTTACCATTCTCATTCATCTGCAGTTGTCTTCTCACTGTAAGGACAGGCTACTTGAATACCAGAAACACCACAGAAATTGCTGTTGCCTGCAGGCATCTTTTGTCTATATCTTTCCTTCTAGACAAACAATACTCCTATAGTGCAACTGTGTTTTCTAATCCATGGATTTCTGGGCCCATCTGTCTGGAAGGCAGCCTTCCAGTGTGCCTCTACATTTTAAACAGCTGCTAGATGAATATTCATGCTTTGTAGTTCACACTTGAAGTGAATTTGCACTATGTTCTTTTTTAGCTCCCGCAATAATCTAAGTATCTGCTATTTGCTCTGTATGCAGTCCATCATATGATTTATATGCCTGCATCTATGTAACAGTTTGTGAACTAACCAGCTGTTGCAATACTGTCTGTCTGTTTACAGGGTAAGCCTGTGGGGACTCCAGACCCCGGGGCGTTCTTCCGTGTCCTGTCTGAAAATGGAGCCTCTTCCATGTTCACAGCTCCCACCGCCGTCCGAGCCATTCGCCAGCAGGATCCCCATGCTGCAGTTGGGAAAAAATACCCCCTGTCCAGGTAGACTGCAACGCTTTCCCCAAAACCAAGACAAACCAGTCCCTCCAGGATTTTGCAGGTTTTATGGATTGTTGCAGCCTAAAATGCCTGCTTTCACAGCAGCTTTTCTAAAAAGTTGCAATGTTTTTAGACAGTTTTTGCAATGAAATTGCGGAGGAAAGTGAAAATTCATGGGGATTGGTTGAATTTGTGTTAATTGTTGCCATAGCAACTTCCTGGAGGGACTGAACTGTTGACAGTGCAGTATTGCTAATTAATGAAGCTCTTAGTAAAAGAATGCCTTTAATCTTGTACCATGGAGATTAGTCCCTAAAATGTTGAGTAATAGATTATTAAATCGACACAAAATTAATTGGCAAGAATTCTGACAATTGTTAATAATTGATCAATCTGTGTGGTTCCAGCATCTCGAAGGGCAATATTTTCTGCTTTTATGTGATTGTAATTTGCAAAACAAAGCAAAACTTCTTTGGAGATGTTCCCACGACCATTGTTCACTATTTTCCGACATTTTATAGACAAAATGATTGATGTTAGAATAATAGTTGGTTCAGCCCTAATGCTGATTGAAAATCTAAAATGAAAGAAAAAAGCCCACACACAAGTCTTCCTTTAAGATGGATAACAAGTAAAAGCACAAATATGTGTATGATTTGAAAATGTCTTACAAGATCTTTTTAATGCCAAAACTCAAGACATAAAGTAAAGATTATTTTTTATCAAACCATTAGACTGTAATCCATGCTTCTATCATGACAATTGACTGATACAAGGACTGAAACACAGGGCTAACCTGTCATTGTCCAGTGCTTCTGAGGAACTTAAAGTGATAACTGTGAATACAGCGGGTATAGGCCTTAACCCTCAACTGCAGGTTGTTTGTTGAGCTTTGAAACGCCAGGAGTGATGTGTTAAAGCATCTCATGGCTGACAGTGTTCTGCACAGCCTGTCTAGCCTCTCATTAGGCTCCGGCCATCTGTTGATGCAGAGCCCTTTTCCACCTCCATTGCTCACAGTCTGTACCCTCAGCTCGACCCGCTTGGGTGTTAATCAGGATGGATAACAAACGGCAGGTCGCTGCAGCCCACCTGTATTAAATCATACCACATGAGCTTGTTTCCCAACTGCCATCTCGCTGTTCAGGTAAAGGTCGTCTGTAGCTGAGAGTTAAAAAACAAACATTTTTCATGGTATTAGTTTGGCCCAGAGTCAAATACTTGCTGAGATTATCACAATTGTTAATTCTTTGTTGCAGTGAAGAGAAACTTAAACCTAAGGGGTTGTGGTGTCAATTCACCACTTTCATTCTATTCAGCAGTCTGAAAATGCCTCTAAGCACACAATCATAAAGCAATTCTGAGTGTGGGTGACCTATGGCCCCTGTGAATCATTCAGTAACTCTGGCATTGTGTGCTGAATTTGACGATCTTCGGTTGTTCGCTGTGCTGAATGCATAGCACCTTTTTAAATGCTGTACTTGCAGACTGAGATTATTTTCTACAATATTTATGCCTCAAATATTGGTGGCATTTATCCTCTCAGTTTTGACCCTATCGCAATCAGTCATTTAGGCGACATGCTGCTTCTGTGTACATTTTCTCGTTTTTAATGCATTTTTTCCCCTTGGAGGCGGCAGGTTGGTGAAAGATTACTGCATTTCCTTCCGGCACTGAACAAAACATGTCACCTTGACACAGGGCAGCAATACAAAGCAAGAAATGAAACATGGTTTTCTGGTCAGTTCACTGTCTGGTTGAGCCTTTCATTCTCTGATGATATGTACTTTGAATTTTACAGTTACAAAAAGATGCCAATAAAAAGTGCCATTTTTTATTCTCATGGAATTTAGAAGGTTTTCATTTATTGAGTGTAGAGGATAAGTTTGGGTCTCTGTCTTGAATGTTTAATTTACTACATGAATCAGAGGAAAGCATTATATTAATCCAGTTGTTGAGAGGTCTTACTTGAACTTGGTGTCTTGGTCATGGTAACTCCTTCAGCGGGCCAGACTGACTTGGCTGTATGGTGTAGATGCACATGAAACATTTATTGAACCATAGTGTTTCTGATATTTTATATTGCCTAATGGATCCATGGAATTTTTTCACTTCCTATAACACATGAAAAGACATGTCAATATTAATAGTGCTAGTTTAATTAAAAGTGTGTTGATGGAAGTGGTAACACCTTTCTGAAAACACTGTTAGCTTTATTATGAAACGCATAATTTCATGCTAGAGAGGCCTCAAATGATAATTTGATACAGCTCAGATAGCCTGTCTGCAGTTTATTGACACTGTGAGACATTTACTCCCTCTATTGCTCGCTCAACTGTAATAGCTGTGGACCCTTATCAATGTGCTTGAGCCAGATTACTTGTCAGCATGGATATGAAAACTACTTTGAGAGTCTGGCTGCGGGGCTGTCTAACACTGTGATGGCAACAGTGCTCTGCATAAATGTAGCATGACAAAAGGGCCAGATACTCTGTCAGTAGTGTTTTAAAGATGTGAGGACTAGCTCAATGCTGAGAGCCTTACTCACAAACGACTATGACTCCAGTCCATAGTGGTTTTTGATGCACAGTAAAAGCTAGTGATGTTTGTACCTTGTTTGCATATACCAGGGCATTCTCCAGTCTGCTTGTCGCATGTTGTGGATGCATTTCCATTATTACATTTTTAACCACCAACACACAGAACAAGTCATACACACAGACATTCTGGGGTCATGGACTAGTTTTGGAGCTTAAATGTCCATCTGTGTGAAAAATATAGCTGCCGACAACTTAAGCTATACTCTCTTTTGCTTAAATAACCTCTCATTTATTCTCTCTTCACCTTAGTCACATTGAGCTCACAGAATCAGATTTAAACATATTAGCTATTTGTACACTTCACATGGATAACCATAACCGACAGAATGTTGTTTTCTGCTTTATTAGCCTACTCCAAGGTCATACTGTAGAGATTAGTGTGGCCTTATCTTTACAAACTAGGTGTACCAACATGTTGTTGCCCATGATTAGGCAGTGTTTCAGTTGAGAGAGAATATTTTCTTTTACTGTAAACATCTTTTCTTAGTTCATGTAGCACTACATCAGTAAAATTTGAAATCATTGTGCCTTACATTCATCAATAACCTAGCGTGTATACCAGGATAAACTCAACAAGTGTGGTTTAAGTGTGGACCAATTAAGTGTTTGTTTTTTGTTCATATATAAACAGATGTTGCTTAACTTATAAGTAATTGTTTTCCTACATTCAGTCGCTGAACACAAAATGTTAAGCGGTGAAGTAATATGGGAGATGGAAGGAGGCCTTTTTTATTTGAACAAGGGTGTGAACAACAAACAAGCTGCTGAGGCATGAAAAAATTTAAATCTTGTATCTTTATGCCATGTAATGTTAAATAACTTGCACACCATCGTCAATGAGGTTTATATGTTGTCCTTGATCTTTTTGTTTTTCATTTTTAAAGAAAGACTTTAGAAAGAGAAGGACAGCTTTTCATGAGATCTTTTCTTCCTAAAAACAGAACGCAGATGTTTACTCTGGCTGTTACTGACTCAACGCAGAGTCCTTGAGTTTGGTCTGCGGCCAAACCATCGCCCTCCCACCACCAGTTCTGAGGTCACAGTGACTATGTAAATCCTCTAAACTTATTTCCATTGAACTCCTTAGAAAAGTTAAAAACCCACAGAGAATCTGAATTGTCCTTGGATTGCAAGAAGCATGGTAGTGGGAGTGTAATGCTGTTTAGCTAGAACATAAGGTTATTGCCAGGTCAGTGGTCAGTCATTAATTTAGCACAGATCCTGTGGGGCAGACTCTGACAGACAGTACATTGTTAATCCAGAGGCTCCAATAATGTCCTTGTCGTTCATTAAAGTTCTTGATCAACAACAATACAAGGTCGGATGCCTATAAAATAATAACGCCTGATACATAATGTTTCATTACCATAGCAATGTTGCCTCCATTATAATAATATAGAACTTGTTACTCAATGTTAACTCTAACCAAAGAACACAAAAGTAAAAACAAAGAAGGAAATTAGATCAGATTTAAAGTAGCTGATGTTAATATTTCCCTTATTATTGGAGGGGAATGGTGTTCTTTGAAACTGAACTGGCTGAAGGCTCTCTGGCATCCTGCAACATCTGGGTGGTGATAAACAAAAGCAGAATATTTTGGATGTTATTCTGCTTACTGACAGGAATTCACAATTTATTTGGGTGATGCAGCCCATGTTCTGCAATCACAGTGTTTTGAAATACCACAGAAACCAGACTACATAATATTCCTGAGACCAAAGGACAATCAGGTTAGAGAGCAGTGCTTGAAAAAGAAAATGAAATATTACCCTGGGAGAGAGCAGGAGAAGAAAAGATATGATTCAGTAAGGAGAGAGTGACATGATGAAAATGTTTTCGCCTGTTACAGACGATAGAATATGACTTCAAGTTTGATTGGAGTTGGAAGGTCATTTTGCCATCGCAGAGGGTTGAGACCGATGAGTGATGACCAGCAGTCATTTGTGGGAAAATGTAGTGATCAGCCTAGCATCTATGGCTGCACTATGGCCTGTAGGGGGTTAGAGATCTCTTCACAGCCTTGTAGCGAGCAGCTAGCAGTGTTCTGAATTAGATATGAGCTGCCATAGGTAGCCATCAGAGAGAGTTTGGGAGAGAATGATGTGGGAGAAATCAAAGAGACTGAAGATAGAAACTGCAGTGATTTGGGTCACTTGTAGGGCATGGAGGGAGGGTTTCATGAAGCCAGAGAGTAGCGGTTGTCTCTACTAGGAGGGAACTAAAGCTTGAAGGACTTTGATAAGATTCAGATGTCCTTGCAAGAGTTTGTTGTTACTTGGTACTCTATGATTCAGTATCTCATCCACACTGGGGAAAAAAGTGCAGCTTAGTCTTGCCAAGACTGTGTTTCCTGGAAGACCAATTTCAAACCCATTTTAGATGAGTTACAATGCATGAAGATTCAGCAAATGTGGAATTTAGTGTTTTCTGCCTTGGCATTTAAAGCAAGAGACTAAGTACTGAGCCCTTGAAGACTCCAGTGGAGATGATGCTCAACACAAACAAGGATTCACTTCTACTGTCCTAATAAGTGTGACCATAAGGAGGCAAACCATCATAGATGATCCTTTAGTCAGCAACGATGGTGAGAACTATCTGCTGGACATTGTCAGAGGCAGTGGAAAAGATACCTCAATCACAGCTTGGTGCTGCCTTAAAAGCAAACTGGTTGTGATGCAGAAACGTTTTCCTTCAGTAGATACAGTATTGCATGACCTCAAGGTCACATTTAAAATCAAGAGAAGTTGTCAGTTATTGTTTATAGTAGGTCTGATCACAATTGATATGACCCAGTTTTCATAACCCAAGTGTTTTCAATTAGCAAAACAATTACAGAGGTAAATCAGAGCTCATAAGCTGAACTTGTCTGAGGATCTGTCACTTCATATGAATTATAATTGGCATACTTATAGACAAAGAGATGGCCAAAATTTATGAAGCTCCACTGCACTGCATTTAGTATAAGGTAGTGAATTTCTAATCACTTGAAATAAAGTCTGTGCATAAACATTTTTACATGACTGTCTTTAGAAATCAGGTTTGAACATGTGTGGGTAAAAGAACCCCATAAAAAGTATATTTTGCCATTGCTTCGATGGGTTTTCTTGACCATGCCTGTGAGAGAGAAGATATGTCATGTTTCCTCAAGGTGATTGACAGATGTACTCTGTGTCCTTGCAGGTTGCGGTCGTTATTCCTGGCAGGAGAGCGTTGTGATGTGGAGACGCTGGAGTGGGCAAAGAAGAGCTTTGGGGTCCCTGTCCTGGATCACTGGTGGCAGACTGGTATGAAGGCTTTCTAAAGACATAATCTGAGAACGTCACCTTGTTGATGGACTGTATTTAAAGCTACACTGGGGAGTACTCCTGTCTTATCTGATACATTTTTTCTTGTAGCACAAAGTGTCATGTTGGACGGGAAGTAACTAATTGAAATATCACTGAGTAAGTGCTAAATATTACTGTGTCTGAGCTGTGCAGTGAAAGCTGGACTCGCCAACATGATGTTCTGTTCTCCTGCCCCTTTTTTCTCTTTGGTATAACACATCACCTTACAGCCAGGCCTGCATACATACCATATTATTATATCAGTTAAGTAGTTTGCGAAGCACTTTCCGCTTAAACTTAAGGGATTAAGTTCTTATGATATAGATACTGAGAAAGCATTTCAAGTACCTCAAGTATTTTATTTGCATGAACTGTGTATGATGTTTTAATTTAACTTGATCTTTAAAACTCCATCTCATCTTAAGCTTATCAGTGTGAGAAGACTATGAATGTGGTCTTTGATGTATTTTATTAGTCCATTGACATTAACTTGGCCTTGAGAAGAGGCACAACTGGAGGAGATCGCTATTCCCTTGTTGTCAGTATGAAGCACATTTTATCATAATTCCATCTTTGATTAATCCCTCCTATGTTTTGTATTGTAGACCAGGGGATTTGGCCCCTTCTACCAGAGTAATTATGATGTTAAAGACCCCTCAGTTTGAATCTCTAAGATTCTCTGGGAATTTAACATTACACAAAGTAATGTGTCATCATTTGCCTTGGTTATCTGATTGCAATCAAAATTACATAGCATAACAGCAGGACAGATGAAACAATGGCTGAGATCACTGGAGATAATTTTCGAGACATTCCTTTGACTTGAAACACACGTTTTGTTTAAATTGGCCAATTTACAGAAATCAAAATGAGAATCATGACTGAAAGACTGTTGGCTATTGCCAGGAACTTTACAGTAGGGCAAGCCACAAAAGACCTTCTCGCCTCATAGACAGCCATAGTCAGGTGAGAAAACTCCCAGAGAGCATTTCTTTAAACGGTCACATTGCAGGGCAGCATTTAAACAAGGGGTGTGATTGGCTTTGCCTTTCATTGAGTTCACTAATGTTTAATTGACTTTTCACCCATATGAGTGACTGGCTGAGATGTGAGTACTAAGTTGTGTACTTAGCAAAGAGATAAAGGAAAGAAAACAATCACTGGTACCTTGTCCATCAGTTCAAGAGCAGAAATTGAACTTGCTTCTCCACTGAACATGCATTGAGTTTTTCCATTTTTCCTTCCCATTACTGATTCCGATACCTGAACACTTGCACTGACAAAGAAATTACATAATGTAATTAGTAATTAGTAGTATTATGTTATATTAGTATTATTAGTAATATAATGTATCAAGTGTATAGTCAGAGTCAGAGTAGGGCTGGCTATGACTTCGCTATCCTGAGAAAAAAAACAGGATGCTACTGGGAAGTAGCATTTTGCGGCTAATAAATTGTGGGTATTGGATGGGTGCACAGACACTCGTACTCTCCGATACCGGATACCGCATTTGGGCTGTATTAAAAGAATTTCGCAATTGGTACAGGCACTGGAACAAATCCACATTGAGTCCAGCAACTTGATAAATAGTTTTTATTGTTTGATTTCTAAGTAAGAGTCCAAAATACATGAAACCAGACCTAAGCAAGGGTGTGTGAGTTCTGTCGATTTTCACTTAAACAAGTTTACAATAATTTGTGGTTAATCATCCGTGTTGCATAAGGCCTTAAAGCCATTAACATAGTCAATATCTCAGTGCCAAATCGCACCAATGCACTTTAAATTAATGTCATGTTCACAGAGGCTGAGTCGTGGTCATCATTTTAAAAGCTTGTCATGCCCCTTAACTCACAGCCCAGTGGTCGTACATTAGTCAAGGAGGAGCGAGTTGCAGTTTCCTAAAAAAGTATTTTATCTCTGTTTTATTCACCTCACAATCAACCTATTATACAACATGACTGGTTTGGGTCTGGATGATAACAGATGTAATTGGAATCTTGGGTTCCCAGCTTTCCCTGCATTGTTTCTCAGTGCTCGGTTTGTAATGGTTCTTGAATGGGTAAGACCCCGTTAGCCTCTTGGATGGGGGGCCGTAATTCAGGCAGCGTGCCATCCTGCTACTGTCGTTCCGCCCTTTTGATTGCTGTCCTCCCCAAGTTCTAGTGAACTATGACAAATGTGCCAGCAATAGCGAAAGAGCACAATTGCATGTCTCTTTGTTTTGTAATATCCTGCCTGGGAATATGGAGGATTGATGCTGGACAAGTCAACATCTCTGTGTTAAATATGGAATCGATACTGTTGTTGGGCCGTTGGTAAGCCATCGACCTTGAGTTTGTACAAGCAACACACTCTGATCTGAGTGCAGATTAGCCCACTTGGCTGATCTGTCCAAGCTCAATGGAAGTGTGAAGAGCTCAATATTGCAGAAAGGTTGTCCCATTTCAGATAAGCCTATCCAAATTCTGCCAAAAAAGTATGAGCCTTCCCTTTTGTTTCAAGCCCTTTACACTCAAACATTTGCACCACATAATTACCAGGTATTTCCTTAGATAGGCAATAAAAACTGGTACAATCTGTATCATCAGGAACCAAGAAAAAACACCTCCACATGTATAATAATGGAAGACAGGAACAGACTTCAATGTTTATTCTTTTTATTAGTCTGGACATCTGCCACTTTGTCTGCAATTATGATTGTAATTCCTTAGTGGTAATCAATTTTTGCTTTTATGAGACAGAGAACTGTCTAAATGCAGCAATAGTTTCTGTTTTCATGAGGCTACACTGTCTCATTTGGGGAGGAGGCACAGATTCAGTCTGATCTGCGAGTCTACTGATGGACACCCTCTTCTGAGTGGTGACCATCCAGCCCTTGAATTGGGACACAGCTACGTATACTGTGCGTTTGCCCTTAGCAGTGGGCTCATAGAAAGTGAAAATCAATCAATAATGATTCAATCAGTGCAATAATGGCAGTTCCCTCTGTGTGGTATATTCATGCTCAGTTTAAATATCCATATGCTGATATTCACTCTTTTGGATGAGCATTTGCTGTTAATATGAGCCGAGTGGAGGACTTGAAGGGTTTAGAATAGGCAGCAATGCACACAGGCAAACAGAAGCTTATGACATTTGCGAGCCCTTTGGTGCTGTGTGATTTAGTTGTTTACTCTGTTATGTAGAATACATCCTATGCTCTCTACCTGAACCTCCCTCTTAGATTGTGTCTGACTGGCAGTGCAGATGGTTGGACTTTACTAAATGGTAAATGGTAAATGGTATATGGACCTGCATAAATCTGAGCACAAGGTAATAGCGGCCCTTTCTAGCTCTTTCCGAAGCCACTCAAAAGCCCGGCTTTTTACACTACGGTGGCCACTATGGCACGCCTTTCACACAACATTCACACAGTGGATGGCAAAGTCCAAGAGGTCGAACAGAAAACGATAAGCTCAGTATCCGATAGCTGACACACTTCATCGCACAACAGCAGAATGCCTATGCATCAGAGCGCAATTTTGGGTGCGGTTCAGTATCTTGGCCTCAAAGGAGTACTTCGGACACGTGGCAGGAGGAGCCGGGGATCGAACCAACAACCCTTCTGATTGGGGGACGACCCGCTCTGCCTCTGAGCCACAGCCGCCCGCTAACACTTTCACTAGCTTGGATGTGCAGAACAAAGCTGTTGATTCCCATCTTTCTCTCTGTAGCTTCATTGTTTGTGAGATAACATTTCATTCTACTTGAACATAGGGTTGTTTGTTTCACAAGTTGAATCTCACTTCCTTTCTCTCTCACACACACACACCCAAACAAAATCCTGTCACACTTAGTGGCCATCCTAGCCAGGTGATTTATTGAGTTGGAGAAAAACCCCTGGCGCCCTCTTGATTTCTGTCTAGATGTGTAAATCCCATTGGATTCTTCACCCCCTACTAAACTCAATAACTGGCAGCTGGCGGCCAGCGCTGCAATCCAAATGTGTTTTCCACCTTTTCACGGTAGAGTGGGTCACTCCTTGTCTCACTTCTTTACTCTTTGTTTGTCTGAGGGAGTTTGACTTCAAGCGCGTGGGTGACCGAGACTGTTGTTATACATAATTCATAAATCATTAGTTTGTCATTTCCTTCTAAAGTTAGAGAAGAAACAGAACAACTTTTCAGAGTTTGTCTTCAGCTGTTTGAGTTCACCTTTTCCACATCCACGTTGTTGTAACAGTTGCACAGTTGCATATTGTTGTGCAGTCAGTTTTATATTTAAAAAAAAAAAAAAATTCCTGGAAGGATAATTTTTCATACTAACAAGTATTTTCCCAGCCTGTATAGCTTGTGCATGTGTGCCCAGAACTTGTAGTACAACAATATGGGTGACATATATTGCTCAATTCTTTCAACACAGGCAGTGCAGCTTGTTATTATCAGCATAAGTTAATTGTTGGTTTTAGCCTCTTTAGGGGAATAGAAAGATAAATGAATGCCACCTTGATTACTTTGCAGCACTGACATCTTCCAAAAACCTCATACAATGTGATTCTATAATGCATTGTTTAAACAGTTTGAATGTATCAGTATTTTTATACTCACACACAAGTATCAAATGTCAGTAGGGGTTTGTGTACAGTTTCATTCTACCTGTACTGAGTTTATGAGTCACCCTGCATGGAGTGTCACGGTGCACTGTTCGACCGTCTCCCTGGAGACAGGACATCGATCATGCAACTTTTAGCAATGTCGCTCCCTTGACAACTCTCCTTCGTCTCCCCCTCTCAAAAGGGAAGCAACTTGCTCAATGGCAAGCAGTTTAGCATTCAAGGCTAGTTTACTCATCACAGACACGAGAGACAGACTCCTCCTAAAGAAACTCATTATAGACAAAACACCTAAAAAGCAGAGTTTGTTTTCTTCTGGCTTCCAATCAACAAATTTTTCAAACTTGTGACAGTCTTTTTAAGTCCC